AAAACGAGTACCACAATACCGGTCACACTACTAAGATAAGTCTCTTCTGCTCACCGAGGCTGCTTTTATTCGATCAAAAATACAGTAAAAATAGTGAAATATTATTAGAATGTAAAACAGCTGTTTTCTGTGTGAATCTCTGTTAAACTGTAATGTATTTCTGTGATGCGCAGCTGTATTTTCAGCATCATTCCTCCAGTCTTCAGTGTCACATGATCTTCAGAAATCAGTATAATATGCTGATCTGCTGCTCAAGAAACATTTCTGATTAATTAACATTAACTAATTTAAATAAAAATATTAAATAATTAATTTTAATCAAGGACGCATTAAACTGATCAAAGGTGACAGTAAAGGCATTTATAATGTTACAGTAGATTTCTATTTCAAATAAACGCAGCTCTTTTGAACTTTATCAAAGAATCTTCTTTCAGAAGCATTAAAAAAATATCATAATCATTCCAGATTTTTGACCAGTCGTGTCACTTTAAAAGTGTAAATTGTATATGCTGTAATTTGTCAACGTGTCTTTTATAACCTGTTACCATTTTAATCACTTTATTTTAATGGTCCTGCCTGCGACAAATTCCAGTTGTTAACATTAGTTAACGAACAATGAATAACACAAAGCATTTATTAATCTTAATGTTAATTTCAACATTTACTAATAATTATTAAAATCAAAAGTTGTTCCTGTTAATATTATTCAATGGACTTTAGCTGACACGAGCTTTATTTTGATCAAAAATACAGTAAAAATAGTGAAATATTATTCTAATGTAAAACAGCTGTTTTCTATGTGAATCTCTGTTAAACTGTACTGTATTTCTGTGATGCGCAGCTGTATTTTCAGCATCATTCCTCCAGTCTTCAGTGTCACATGATCTTCAGAAATCAGTATAATATGCTGCTCTGCTGCTCCAGAAACATTTCTGATTAATTAACATTAACTAATTTAAATAAAAATATTAAATAATTAATTTTAATCAAGGACGCATTAAACTGATCAAAGGTGACAGTAAAGGCATTTATAATGTTACAGTAGATTTCTAATTCAAATAAACGCAGCTCTTTTGAACTTTATCAAAGAATCTTCTTTCAGAAGCATTAAAAAAATATCATAATCATTCCAGATTTTTGACCAGTCGTGTCACTTTAAAAGTGTAAATTGTTTATGCTGTAATTTGTCAACGTGTCTTTTATAACATGTTACCATTTTAATCACTTTATTTTAATGGTCCTGCCTGCGACAAATTCCAGTTGTTAACATTAGTTAACGAACAATGAATAACACAAAGCATTTATTAATCTTAATGTTAATTTCAACATTTACTAATAATTATTAAAATCAAAAGTTGTTCCTGTTAATATTATTCAATGGACTTTAGCTGACACGAGCTAACAGCTGTACTTTTATTAACTAATATTAAATAAGTGTGTGTGTGTGTGTGTGTGAGTATGTGTGTGTGTGTGTGTGTGTGTGTGTCTGTGTCTGTGTGTCTGTGTCTGTGTCTGTGTGTCTGTGTCTGTGTCTGTGTGTCTGTGTCTGTGTCTGTGTGTCTGTGTCTGTGTCTGTGTGTCTGTGTCTGTGTCTGTGTGTCTGTGTCTGTGTCTGTGTGTCTGTGTCTGTGTCTGTGTGTCTGTGTCTGTGTCTGTGTGTCTGTGTCTGTGTCTGTGTGTCTGTGTCTGTGTCTGTGTGTCTGTGTCTGTGTCTGTGTGTCTGTGTCTGTGTCTGTGTGTCTGTGTCTGTGTCTGTGTGTCTGTGTCTGTGTCTGTGTGTCTGTGTCTGTGTCTGTGTGTCTGTGTCTGTGTCTGTGTGTCTGTGTCTGTGTCTGTGTGTCTGTGTCTGTGTCTGTGTGTCTGTGTCTGTGTCTGTGTGTCTGTGTCTGTGTCTGTGTGTCTGTGTCTGTGTCTGTGTGTCTGTGTCTGTGTCTGTGTGTCTGTGTCTGTGTCTGTGTGTGTGTGTGTGTGTGTGAGTGTGTGTGTGTGTGTGTGAGTATGTGTGTGTGAGTGTGTGTGTGTTTTCTTTTACATTTATAATGGCTATTTAAATATGCCAGATTTTATTTATTTTCATTTAAGGTTTATTTATTTTAGTACATCAAGTTAAATTAAGGCATTACACAACCTTACTGTAAAGTGTTAACAGTTAATTACAGTTAAAATGAAAACAAAAGCTATACAAATAAAAGCGAACTTTCATATGTCATTAAAAAATATGAGTGCTATGAAGAAAGAAGGGTCTCTGACCTGCATTGGAGAGGAGAAATCATCCTCACAGTCCAGCCCGAGTCGACCTGCGGACGAAAGCAGACTCAGCCAAAGTCACTGGACGGCAAGCGTAACGGCTAATGCTAACGCTTGCGGTCTGGCAGTACGTGGGAAAGGAGACCAGAGGCTGTTCTTATTGAATGGATGTCAACGGAGGAGATGCTGCACTTCACTAACAGCTCGTCATTTAATGAACACTAAACTTGAACTATTTTTAGAGTCTATATAGCTGTTTTATAAGAGAAGTCACTGACTTTTTGCGACAGGTGGGATTCAGGTTATGGCACTTCTCATTCATTCCTATGGGATCCGTAAACGACGACTGAGTGTCGCACAATTCAATGACGTCAAGGCTGCAATGTGATTGGTTATCAAGGCTTTCTCCAACAGTAAGTAATACAGACCCTCTCATCTCCTTTAGTAAGACAATCTCTTGCTGCGTCGCATACTATCCGTCCTAAATACTATTTTAAAATAGAATTAGTATGTCCCAAATCATAGTATGTTGAAAAGAGAATGCCAAAGATTCCCGGATGGTCTACTACTAGAGATTACGATTCGAAGTGCAGATCGATGCACGCTCTAACGGCTAATATTGCCCACGGACGAGGACTCCATTAGAACTACAAACATGCACAACAAAAAAGTGTTTAAAAACTACAAACATGGCAGTTACGTGATACATTGATAAATAATCAATGTCTACCCTGATTTTAAAAATAATTTATATTGCACCTGCAGCAACATTGTGAACTTTTATAATGATACGTTTGGTCATTAACTTTTAAATGCATCATTATGAGTTCTCGGCATGATAGACCCGCGACTAGCAGATCAACGTGCCTCTTCATTTCTCTCCAATACGGTAGGAAATTCAATTAAACAAAATGTGAATTGTGTTAACTGTGATAAGATGATTGGATGCATGTAACTAAGCAACAGAGCGTCTGTTAAAGATGAAGTAGCATGTCCCAACGCTTGCCTACTATTCTGCTACATACTCAGAAGTCTGTACTTTTTCTTCACAAAAAGAGTACATACTTTTAGGGCGTAGTATAAGTAGGCGAACTGGGACGCGGCATTGGATCACAGGAAGTGCCTGCGGTCATGTGACAGGAAGTGCCCGTGGTCATGTGATCGCACTCACCGTGCTCTCCGCAGCCCCAGGAGTAGATGTCCCCGCTGCGGGCCAGCGCCACCACGTGTTTCAAATATTGTCCGATCCTAACAAACCATACATCAATGGAAAGCTTATTTATTCAGCTTTCAGATGATGCATACATCTCAATTTAATCAAAAATGACCCTTATGACTGGTTTTGTGCTCCAGGGTCACATTTAGATATTAATCTTTTAAAAGTTCAGTTTTTTTAATGTTTTTGAAAAAGTATCATGGAAAATATTAACAATGCGCATTTAATTAAATGCTTACATTAAAATAAATACCAAAAAGAAAAAGCACATCTGCATTTATTTAATCAAAAACGAAAGTAAAAACAGTAATATTGTGAAATATTATTAAACATCCATGAATGACATGAAGAAACTGAGACGGACTCAATCCAGAAGAACTGATGCTTCTAGAAACCTCCTGCGAAGCTCCTGAGAAACTATGAGCAAGAGTGCAAAAGCTGCTTTACACAAAGGATGCTCACAACAAATGTTGGTTTCATTTAGTTAATAGAAGACATTATTTTTGACAGCATCCTCATTTTAACAGCACTGTAGCTTCGCAGGAGGTTTCTAGAAGCATCAGTTCTTCTGGATTGAGTCTGTCTCGGTTCGTTCTGTTTCTTCATGTGACTCCAGACAGACGGATGATGATCAGATCAGAGCTCTGAGTGCAGCACTAACATATATCTCACTGCATTATTACAATTAATGGCTAAATGAATGTTCGGAAATGTAAACTGATATTTCCTTCTGACACACTACAGCAAAGGATAGAAATAAGTGGCTTAAAACCGTGTTTTAGCTGGTGGAAATACTGGTGCTCTTATCATTTTGGCCACCGCTGTAGTTGCCGCTTCATATTTTTTGTGGAAACTGTGATGCATTTAGTTTTTCAGGATTCACAGATGAATAGAAAGTTGCAAAGAACAGCATTTATTTGCAGACAGGCTCTGAGGCGGTCCGCTCACCGGTGACGCAGGCGGTGAAGTCGGCTCCGCAGGACACCTGTTGGATGGCTTTGCCCTGCAGACGCTCCACTCTCCGCGGCTGGCGGTACGAGGCCTGGTCGCCGTGACCCAGCTGACCCACCATCTTGGCTCCTCCCTGAACGCTCTGCAGAAACAACACCAGCATCTCTTCAGCTCTGCCTGGAAACTGCCACGGTGACAATCTGTTGCATTTCATTTTTGGATTTTTGTCAGTTTAATTTTTACATTATTCTGCGATGCTTTTTAAAATATTTTTGTGCCTTTATTTTGAACGAACGTGATCAGGGCATGGTGCAGCTTGGACTCAAACCAGTGGTATTTTAGTATAATGAATAAAATGGAATAAAAATTGAAATAATGGAATAAAATTTAAATGCATACAAAAAATTAAAAATAAAGGAAAATTCATTAAACCAAATTATTAAACTAAACCAAAAAATAATTGTAATGAATAAATACAAACGATAAAAACACATATTAAAATTAACATAAATTAATAAAATAAAAATTAATAATTCAAATAAAGAAACTACTTTAGAATAAATGTCTTTAAAAATGGCTATATTGTTTTTATTATTATCATTTCGGTTTTAGTTATTTTAGCACATCAAGTTTAAACTAAATTAAAATGTTAATTATAAAGCGGAGAGTTCCGGTGCTTGATTCTGATTGGCTGAGCCGCGTTCGAAGCTGTTGTAAATGACGCTACAAAGTAACACACACCTTTGTTTACTTCTGTGTGTTGCTCGGCAACCACTTTGTAGCAACCACAACTGTTTCTGAGGAGCTACATTGTTTGGTGGAAGAATACTGTGTTTATTAATATCACTACACTTTATTTGCTCTGTTTTATTTTGTGAAACCTTACTACGTATATGGAATAACCGTTTTATAAAAGCAGTAAGCCCCGTGAAGCCGTGGTTTACAGTGAATTTATAACAGCTTAGGGGGTTGTAATAACGCCCCTTAGCTGTTATAAATTCACTGTAGACCACGGCTTCTTGGGGATTATTGCTTTAATGGCAACTAGCCTTTCATTTTATTTCAAGTAAGTTTAGTTTACTATTAGGGTTGGGCCGATAGATGATGCCATCGCCCAACCCTATTGACTATAATAACCTTGACTCAAAGATATTTTTCACTTACTAATAAGCGGCATAGTAAAAAAAATACTATTAAAACACACCATCATTTTCTAGACTCAAACTGCTGTACATGGATTCAATTACTCTTTAGTTATGTTCCGTTTGAGATCTTTCTGCAGTATGACTACAGATGTGAGTGTGGCGTGTGATATTTACGGCCCAGGTGTACAGCTCCTTCTCGACGGTCACCACAGCGAAGTGTGTTTCTCCAGCGCAGACGTGCTGAGCGCTGCTGCCGCCCTTAAACATGTCCAGCTTCTGAGGAGTGAACTTGCCTCCGCCCCAGAAATACACCTCCCGCGAGCGCGTCGTCACCACCGCCACCGGCGTCTCCGTCACCGTGCTCAACCTCAAACCACCAAACCACAACATTAACAGCAGACAGCAACTCCAGAAACACTGACGCTCTGCTGGGAACCACAGGACACCTACTTGGGTTTCTTGATGGCTGAATTAAGCGCCGCCACCCTCTCCTCCAGCTCCCTAAATTTAAATAAGTAAATAAATAATAAAACTCATATAAAAAAAATACAAACGATAATATAAAGAAATAATTACAATTATATTACATTTATAATAATTACAATTGTTAAATATAAACTGAAATAAAGAAAGCTTAAATGTTTATAACAGTTATAGTCTATAAATAATAATAAACAAATAAAATTAAATTAAGAAATAAAAAAAGAACAAAGAAATTAATACAAATAAAATAAAGAAGCAAACTTTAAAGCTGCAGTCTGTAATTTTTATATGACACAAATAAGAATTTTCACCAGATATTATCATCTGAACAAGTAACACGTCTGCCACTTTTGTTCTGACCAACTCAGGGGAAAAAACATTACAATAAATCGTGCTACCAATGCTGATTAAATCTAACGATCACTTAGCTCATATCACATCAAACCGTGTAAATTATGTGTAAATTATTTTAATTGTTATACTTTATTCTCAAATGGTTAATGTTAACAACATCAGCATTGCATGACTGTGTATATAGTGTGCATTAGCGTGTAGATTTCAATTTCTGTACAGTAATCTCTAATTGTCATACCATTTTTAATATTAAGAAATGTGTTTATTTTTAACCCAAAAAGCAAATTATTCTTCCTTCGAACTGATCGTCTTTAATACAAATCTTGTGTAATCCCAGGCTATCTGTAATCAGATGCACATTTAAAACTGGAATATAATATAATTTCGGTCACGTGGATTACAATCCGCCATCAAAATGATACATTTAATTATTCCAGCTGCTGTGAGAAAAGGCCATAAACGATCCGCCACCTGCAGAAACCTCACATGCGATATGGTAATATAGCCTACTAGCCAGGAAAACTTCGTTATGTTTACATACGTGACGCAATGAGCGGATTCCAGATCTTCAATACTTATCTTGCTGGATCTGTCCGCTGCTTTTGACGTAGCTAACCACCAGATCCTCCTGTCAACCCTATCGGCAAAGGGCATCTCAGGAACTGCACGCCAGTGGTTTGAGTCTTATCTCTCAGATAGGTCCTTCAAGGTATCTTGGAGAGGTGAGGTGTCCAAGTCGCAACATCTAGCTACTGGGGTGCCTCAGGGCTCAGTTCTTGGACCACTTCTCTTCTCTGTCTACATGGCATCATTAGGGTTGCAAAGGGGTGGAACATTTCTGAAAACTTTCCAAAAATCCCTGGAATATTCCAAAAAATCTTGGAAAGTTTCCAAAATTTCTGGAATATTTCCGAAATTTACTGGAAATGTTCCTCCTTTTTGCAACCCTAGGCATCACTAGGTTCTGTCATTGACGCGGCAGCATGCTCACATTTCCTGTGATTCCTACCAGTACCACTCAAATTACAAAATTATAAACTAACCGCTGTGAATCGAGTAAAAGTAAGGCGACAGTTTTGAACACTGGCTGGTTATGCACTTGCTCAAAAATTGATTCGGGTTATTTTAAACAAAAAAAGTTATGGACTGCAGCTTTAAATACATAAAAATAAAGAATGAAAAATAAATACAAAATGCAATTTTCTGAATGGTCCTAAAAACAGGAATTAATTTTGTCTTTTGATTTGAGGGTTCACTCACTTTCTCACACGAGAGATGACGGGCTGCTCTAGAATCTGCACCGCTGTCGGCCTTTTCTCAGGGTCCTTGATCATCGACACACACGAGCATCATTATAACATCATTACAGATATGATTGACAGGCACAGTGAGCCGTAACACAGCGTTACCTGATCTAAACACTCGTACACCAGCCTGATGAGTTCAGACGTATAAGCGTCCGAGTTGATCTCCATGGTCCAGTTGCCCTGGACGATCTTCACACACAGGTTCAGAGGATTCTGGGAAGCACATCATCATCATCATCACACACCGCTGAGCAGATCTCAGTCTAATGAGCGAGTGTTTGTGAATGTTTGAGATGAAGAGACGCTTACGGTGGCATCAAAGGTCCTGGTGAGGGTCAGCAGCTCAAATAAGACACAGCCCATGGCCCAGATGTCTGATTTAAAGTTGTATTTCACTCCCTGACACAGTTCAGGAGACATGTAGTACGGCGTACCGACACACTGGAGAACAAAACACATCAGCTCAACGAGAGGCAAATGAGAAACGAGTGACGGTCGAAGTCAAGCGAGGGAGATGTTAATATATATATATATGTGACTGTAATGAAGACAATCCAACAAAATACACATAATGGAGATTTATACACATGTATATACACTACACAATGCAGGAACATGAAATAAATAAATACAAATGATAATTAATACAATTAATATACTTTGAGAATAATAGGAATTACAAGAACATGCTCTAAAGTAAAAATGCCTGTATGTATCACACAATTCAAGGGAAAACAACTCCCAAACATTTTTTTATCAGCCGGACCCCACTGATAAAAAAAAAAATGTTTACCTTATTTTACTTTAGTATTTTAATTATAATTTAAATCATTTAAGAACACACTCACAGCTCCCTGATGCCAGTTAACAGTCACTTAGGATGCAATTACATAAATATTTTAAGAGTTTTACTCTTATTGTGTATGTGTATATATATATATATATAATAGTAATAAAAATAGACCTACATGAAAAAAAACAGGCTTTTGTATGACTATATTGGTATATAAACTAATGATGAGGGAATGATAATTGGGTCAAATAAAGTATTAAAACCAAGTAATCACATGGTTTTATTGAACAACGGCCTGGTGGTGTTTCACCTTACAGTGTGATTCAACGGCGGTTAAATCATGTAATTTTAATATTCAGCCACATGCAAACTCAGAGCGAGGGTCTAAACTTTTATTTTGAAATAGCGATGTACAACAAATCGCATATTTAGAAATATGTCGGTGTTTTCTCTTGTGTTGGCATAGGTTTATAAATGACTTCCGTTACAAATATAGTGAGATAACGCACACTGTTGTCCCAGATGAACGTTAAGCGACCCAAACTCACAGCATATGCAGAAGAAGAGTTTGTCGACCGAGATGGAGATGCGCTGCACGCTTGTAAATGATCACAGCGCAACACTAAGCGCGTCAGACTTTATATGCATTCCTAAATGCACGTGATTGGAAACCCAAACAAACAGCACATGCAATAAAAGACCGAACAATAGGGATGTAACGATTCACTCAACTCATGATTTGATTCACGATTTTTTAATGAGATTGATGACATTATACAGTAAATGAGAAGGTGTCCTTTTGTTAGGCTATTGCTGCATGTTTCTTTGTAAAATTGAAATATAACAAAACTTAATTGAAATTTTAAAACAAACCCCAAATCAAATGAGCATTTTCAATAAGCCCGTCTCTGTTTTTGTTCAGAACAAAAAGCTAATGTGCTTTCAAAAATCTAAAAAAAAGATTAGACAGTAAGATGTGTGTGTGCTTTAAATTAAAACAATTCTTTATACTTTTGACTCAGCTGTACACAAAGCAGCACTGTGCTCACAAACGCTACTTTATCAGACATTATACGTCTGTGAGATGAAACAAAAATGCCACTGAAACTTCTCTGAAGGCAGTCGGTTCACGTCAGAGATGCATTAATATAAAACACCCATCAATAAAGACCAGCGGATCACACTAAAGCCACAAGCGCAGACTCGAGCGGAGCGGTTTTCGTTTTATTCTAAATTAATTTTGGTTAAAAAGTGTACTAATGTTATTCAGTAACAAAGCAAAGTATTATAAAACCAATGCAATTGCAATTTCAAGCGGTTTCAAGCACTTTATCCAAAATCCAAGCACTTTTAAAACACTATGTTAAAACTCAAGCATTTTCAAGGATTTCAAGCACTCGTACGAACCCTGTCTAATAAATACGGCTGTTTTCAAGGGGTTTCCAGGACTTAAATTTCAAAAAGTCAAATTCAAGTACTTCATGCACTTTAAGGGCCGGTTTTACTAACAGCTTGCGCCCGCGCAAACCTTTCTTATTGAATATGCATTTGTAGGAGTTTCCCTTTAAATGTATTATTAAAATGAATGTAGCATTCCTACTGAAACGTAGTATTAAAATGAATCACGCAACGCGATTTACTAACATTGTCAAATTACTGGTATTTCCGCCATTATTTAACGCCCAAAAAAAGCATGTCTTAAACTGTTAAACTGAACAGAGAGCGCGTGGTAGAAGTGAGAGGATTTTTTCCACACAAATTAATTTATTTTGAATGCCAGAAGAACATTATTTGAACATATCGTTTGCCAAGCCATGTTATTTTAAATTTGCTTCAGGAAATAAGTCACGCAATACCAGGTCTATCAAAACTTCTTGCAACCATTCATTTTTTGGCCTCCGGTTCTTTTCAACGTACCGTGGCTTCTTTATTCCTTTATTTGCGACAAGGCTAATTTGCGCTGTGCTTGGTATATTGCGTTGGTTGATATGTAAATGTGATGTTACGTCTGTGTTCTTTAATTTGCGCATTGTCAGTAGAGCTGAAACGATTCCTCGATTCTATTCAAGTATTCGATTTTTAAAAATCCTCAGTTGCATTTTGCCCATATCGAGTGATCGACAAAATACCGGAAGTGGTGCTTTCCACATATTAAACCCATTTAAAAATCACAATAAAGCATAATGCTATTAAGAATTCACAAACGATACTATTCAATTAAATAAATATATGCGATGCAAGTTTAATATATGCGCTTTAATTATTTACATGCGTGTAGGTTACGTACGTGCGTGTCAGAGCAGCTCACAGTAAACGCTGCTCCGCACAAACTGTTATTATTTAACGTTACACGTGTGTAGCGTCTCGAACTCCATCTCGGCATGTTGTTGCGAGTTTGGATTTATTATAACGTTCATCTGGGAACGCAACGTGCGCCGTTTCATCAGATTTGTAAGGTAAATCATTTATAAACCTAAGCAAACACAGGAGAACATAACATTATCTTTCTCAATATGCTAACTGTTCATCGCGATTTCAAAATAAACGTTCAAACCCTCACTCGGAGTTTACACGTTTTGATGGCAACATAATCAAGAAATTACGGTGTCTGTAGCTTATCTGTCATAAATAATTGGCCATATATTAAAGATTAAGTGGACATTTGAATTAAATGTTGTTGAGTCAATATTAAACACGGATTAGATCACGCAGTAAAGTGTAAAACAATCATTAGGCCGTTGGCGCCCTCTGCAGTCATTTGTTATAATGTGTAATGTACTTTAGCTCTATTGTTTATAATACATTATGTATTTTAAGTTTTATTCAATAAAACCATATGATTTCTTGCTTTTGATACTTTATTCAAAATAATTATTATTGCCTCATTGCTATTATATTTTAGTCATTTTAAAGGCTATTTTTATTACTACAAAAAAATGTATTATAATTATCCGATTAATAATCGACAGATTACTCGATTACCAAAATAATCGTTAGTGACCGCCCTAGCTGTCAGTAATTCAGCCGCAGAAATTTCCCTGGAATTGCGCTCTCGCACTAATTTGCCCTGTTTAGTAAAACTGGCCCTAAGTGCCTTGTACGAACCCTGTGTGAGACGCTGTGAACGCGGTTCTCCTGAACTCACCTCCTCCTTGAAGAGCACTCCCTTCTGCTGGTTGATCTTGTCGTAGAGGTTTCCACCTGCACAAACACATTCAGACTAGAGGTGTGCGGTATTGACAAAAAAAGTAATATCTTGATATCTTCTGAGATTTTATCGATGACGATATTTTGCTGAGTGTGTTATTGTGCTGGTATCTTAAGGATACCGTGGACAGCTGACTCCTAAAGTTTTTGATATTCTTCATATTCTGTGTGCTGGTCAGTTCACAGCAGAGATAGAAATTAATCTTTTCTAATAAGTTTAAATTAATTTGTACCTTTTAATGGGCATTTTTACCTTTATAAACCCATTTTTCTAAAAGTGTGCTTTATCTTTTGAGTCAAATTCTTACATTTAATCAGTGAATTAGAATAATAAGACATTTGGGCTGTTACCAAGCAAATTAAATCAGTATCAATAAAATTAATCTTTGCAATGCAGAGGAAACACAGAAGCTGTGTCTGAAGTGGCATTTAGATGTATTTACACACTTATTGAATACTGTTGTTCGAAATGATCTAAATAATTAAAATAAACTTTTAATGTGAAATTAAAACCACCAGCAGGTGGCAGAAAGTCACTGTTAATAAGTGAGTCATTGTGAATGAACCGAATCATTTAAACGAGGAACGAAACGCCGTCGTGTTGCTCAGAGACGCAAAACAGTGCTGTGGCTGTGTTTGGAATTCTTTTTGTTGTCGAAATAGAGCAAAAACAGGCAATATGGTGTCTAAAACGTAAGTCTCTCAACTAACTTCTTGTTTTTTTGAACTGTTGTAATATCAATATCACATTTTCATGTCTTGAATTTTGTGATCATTCTAAATGCATTCTAATAGACTGAACCATGCAGTGAAAGAACACACTCTAAATGCACACTCGCACTAGTCTAGACTTCACGTAATGTATGCGTCACTCTGTAGGGGATTTGAAAGGTTTTCGCAAAATACTAGATAATGTCAAATCGCACATCGTTAAAACAGCAATTACGATATTATAATAATTATCGCACACCCCTAATTCAGACTGCTGTTCAAACACACGGCGCGCCACTTCTGTGTGTGTGTGTGTGCGTGTGTGTGAGTCTGCGTGTGTGTGTGTGTGAGAGAGAGTGTGTGTGTCTGTGTGTATGTCAGTGTCTGTGTCTGTGTGGTGTGTGTGCGTGTCTGTGCGTGTGTGTGAGTCTGCGTGGGTGCGTGTGAGAGAGAGTGTGTGTGTCTGTGTGTATGTCAGTGTCTGTGTCTGTGTGGTGTGTGTGCGTGTCTGTGCGTGTGTGTGAGTCTGCGTGGGTGCGTGTGAGAGAGAGTGTGTGTGTCTGTGTGTATGTCAGTGTCTGTGTCTGTGTGGTGTGTGTGCGTGTCTGTGCGTGTGTGTGAGTCTGCGTGGGTGCGTGTGAGAGAGAGTGTGTGTGTCTGTGTGTATGTCAGTGTCTGTGTCTGTGTGGTGTGTGTGCGTGTCTGTGCGTGTGTGTGAGTCTGCGTGGGTGCGTGTGAGAGAGAGTGTGTGTGTCTGTGTGTATGTCAGTGTCTGTGTCTGTGTGGTGTGTGTGCGTGTCTGTGCGTGTGTGTGAGTCTGCGTGGGTGCGTGTGAGAGAGAGTGTGTGTGTCTGTGTGTATGTCAGTGTCTGTGTCTGTGTGGTGTGTGTGCGTGTCTGTGCGTGTGTGTGAGTCTGCGTGGGTGCGTGTGAGAGAGAGTGTGTGTGTCTGTGTGTATGTCAGTGTCTGTGTCTGTGTGGTGTGTGTGCGTGTCTGTGCGTGTGTGTGAGTCTGCGTGGGTGCGTGTGAGAGAGAGTGTGTGTGTCTGTGTGTATGTCAGTGTCTGTGTCTGTGTGGTGTGTGTGCGTGTCTGTGCGTGTGTGTGAGTCTGCGTGGGTGCGTGTGAGAGAGAGTGTGTGTGTCTGTGTGTATGTCAGTGTCTGTGTCTGTGTGGTGTGTGTGCGTGTCTGTGCGTGTGTGTGAGTCTGCGTGGGTGCGTGTGAGAGAGAGTGTGTGTGTCTGTGTGTATGTCAGTGTCTGTGTCTGTGTGGTGTGTGTGCGTGTCTGTGCGTGTGTGTGAGTCTGCGTGGGTGCGTGTGAGAGAGAGTGTGTGTGTCTGTGTGTATGTCAGTGTCTGTGTCTGTGTGGTGTGTGTGCGTGTCTGTGCGTGTGTGTGAGTCTGCGTGGGTGCGTGTGAGAGAGAGTGTGTGTGTCTGTGTGTATGTCAGTGTCTGTGTCTGTGTGGTGTGTGTGCGTGTCTGTGCGTGTGTGTGAGTCTGCGTGGGTGCGTGTGAGAGAGAGTGTGTGTGTCTGTGTGTATGTCAGTGTCTGTGTCTGTGTGGTGTGTGTGCGTGTCTGTGCGTGTGTGTGAGTCTGCGTGGGTGCGTGTGAGAGAGAGTGTGTGTGTCTGTGTGTATGTCAGTGTCTGTGTCTGTGTGGTGTGTGTGCGTGTCTGTGCGTGTGTGTGAGTCTGCGTGTGTGTGTGAGAGAGAGAGAGACAGCAGGTGAATGTGTGTGTGTGTGTGTGTGTGAGAGAGAGAGAGAGAGAGGGAGAGAGAGAGTGTGAGAGAAAGAGAGTGTGTGTGTCTGCGTGTGTGTGTGAGAGAGAGAGAGAGAGAGAGAGAGAGAGTGTGTGTGTCTGCGTGTGTGTGTGAGAGAGAGAGAGAGCGAGAGAGAGAGAGAGTGTGTGTGTCTGCGTGTGTGTGTGAGAGAGAGAGAGAGCGAGAGAGAGAGAGAGTGTGTGTGTCTGCGTGTGTGTGTGAGAGAGAGAGAGAGCGAGAGAGAGAGAGAGTGTGTGTGTCTGCGTGTGTGTGTGAGAGAGAGAGAGAGCGAGAGAGAGAGAGAGTGTGTGTGTCTGCGTGTGTGTGTGAGAGAGAGAGAGAGCGAGAGAGAGAGAGAGTGTGTGTGTCTGCGTGTGTGTGTGAGAGAGAGAGAGAGCGAGAGAGAGAGAGAGTGTGTGTGTCTGCGTGTGTGTGTGAGAGAGAGAGAGAGCGAGAGAGAGAGAGAGTGTGTGTGTCTGCGTGTGTGTGTGAGAGAGAGAGAGAGCGAGAGAGAGAGAGAGTGTGTGTGTCTGCGTGTGTGTGTGAGAGAGAGAGAGAGCGAGAGAGAGAGAGAGTGTGTGTGTCTGCGTGTGTGTGTGAGAGAGAGAGAGAGCGAGAGAGAGAGAGAGTGTGTGTGTCTGCGTGTGTGTGTGAGAGAGAGAGAGAGCGAGAGAGAGAGAGAGTGTGTGTGTCTGCGTGTGTGTGTGAGAGAGAGAGAGAGCGAGAGAGAGAGAGAGTGTGTGTGTCTGCGTGTGTGTGTGAGAGAGAGAGAGAGCGAGAGAGAGAGAGAGTGTGTGTGTGTGTGTGAGTGAGTGAGTGTGTGTGTGTGAGAGAGTGAGAGTGAGTGTGTCTATGTGTGTGTGTGTGTGAGAGACAGTGTGTGTCTATGTGTGTGTGTGTGTGTGTGTGTGAGTGAGTGAGTGAGTGAGTGAGTGAGTGAGAGTGTGTGTGTCTGTGTGTGTGTGTGTGTGTGTGTGTGAGTGAGTGAGTGTGTGAGTGTGTGAGAGAATGTGTGTGTGTGAGAGAGTGAGTGTCTGTGAGAGCATGTGTGTGTCTATGTGAGTGTGTGTGTGTCTATGGGGGGGGTACCGTTGCAGTACTCCAGCTCGATCAGCAGCGTGTTCTTGTCCATGAAGTGGTTGAAGTAGGCGATGATGTTGTTGTGCTGCAGGATGGATAGGATGCTGATCTCGTTCATCACATCTCTGCGCTTCTTGTCCGACAGACAGTTCAGGTCGATCTCCTTCCACACCACCAGAGAGTTATCCTGCACACAATCCACCAAACCCAGCTCGATCAGCTAAACCTGTGCATGTGTTTCAGATGTCTGATAAACTGGCAAATGAGCCGCCTCTTCATGTAGTGTGACGTCCCATAAAACAGTTGTGAGAATAGCAATAAGAGTTTCAAAAACTGAGCCAAAGCCATTGAGGAAAACAAATGTATTTTTTCTAGTTTGGCACACTTAAATACATTTATAAAATGTGGAATGTTTAATATGGTTTTCTATTGCGGCATGTGCACATTTATGGAAGATTGTTTCTACCATGGAATAAAAAATACAAACAGACAATTGCATAAAAAGATCATTTTCCCCCTTGCAATACCTAAAAAAAAAAAAATCTGAATTCGTCTGAAATGTCTGAATTGTGAGATAAAACGTCCCAATTTTACACAATTCTTTTTTTCACACAATTGTAAGTTTATTTTTCAGTTGATACTTTTCCCCTCACGATTTCCCTGATTAATGACATATAAAACTCTTTTTTTATAATTGAGAGAAAAAAAAATTATATACGAGATAAAAAGTTGTTTTTTTAACTAGCTCTTAAGACACAGTGGCTGTTTGTGCAACTGGCCTCCCATTTAAGCCGCTCATTATCAGTGGGCGTGGCTGGAACGACCAACCCGCCAATCACAGCAGAGCGCCGATCCTCCGACAGTGACGTAGCCTGGGCACACACAGACACACTCACTCACTCACACACACACCTGTGTAGACCAGACTCTCTCAGGATCGATAGAGATGCATTAATGTCTGCAGATGACCATCACACTACACTCATAATCCTCCTGTCAGCCAAACTCTGAAATCTCATTCAAGTTTTCAAACTTTTGTGTTTTTGGAGATCAATGTTGCTTCTCATATTCCAGAACTGATCGAAATAAACCTTTAAATACACGTGTCGATGTGTGTGAAAATACAGCTTGCGGATTTTCAGTTCAGTCTGATTCTCTCACAAAACTAATACAGCACGAGTCATACAATCAAGTCATGCACTGAAATTAATATTTACCAAAATTAAAGTTTTCATTTAGCTGAAAACTGAAACCCAAAATAAACTTTTTGTGAATAATCAATTATTTACATTTATTTCAAATCAAAAAAGCATTAAACATGGAGCTGTATACATTTCAATATGCACATAACAGTTTTATAGAAACTATTTAAATTGTGTACAGTAATTAGGTTTCTACACCAATCAGTTGTTGGAATATAAACATTTAAATGGTGGCTGTAAAAAAACAAACTAGATTTTATGACAGATTTATTCAAACATGCTTTAAATAAAGCATCACTAACAGGTTCAGTACAAATGATTATTTGTAATATTTGAATATGTAATTTATAATGCTGTCAAATGATTAATCGCATCCAAAATAAAAGGTTTTGTTTGCATAATATATGTGTGTACTGTGTATATTTATTATGTATAGATAAATACACACGCATGTACAGTGGGGCAAAAAAGTATTTAGTCAGCCACCAATTGTGCAAGTTCTCCCACTTAAAAAGATGAGAGAGGCCTGTAATTTTCATCATAGGTATACCTCAACTATGAGAGACAAAATGAGAAAAAAAATCCAGAAAATCACATTGTAGGATTTTTAAAGAATTTATTTGCAAATTATGGTGGAAAATAAGTATTTGGTCAATAACAAAATTTCATCTCAATACTTTGTTATATACACTTTGTTGGCAATGACAGAGGTCAAACATTTTCTGTAAGTCTTCACAAGGTTTTCACACACAGTTGCTGGTATTTTGGCCCATTCCTCCATCCAGATCTCCTCTAGAGCAGTAATGTTTGGGGGCTGTCGCTGGGCAACACGGATTTTCAACCCCCTCCAAAGATTTTCTATGGGGTTGAGATCTGGAGACTGGCTAGGCCACTCCAGGACCTTGAAATGCTTCTTACGAAGCCACTCCTTCGTTGCCCGGGCAGTGTGTTTGGGATTTGGTGGCTGACTAAATACTTTTTTGCCCCACTGTATATATTTAAGAAAAAAGTTACGTTTATATTTTAAATGTATTTATATATTTATAAAAATAAACATATAAATTATATGAATATAAATATATACATGTGAATATTTCCAAAATATATGCTGTGTGTATTTTTATATACATAGGTCAAGGTCAAAGTTTATTTATATAGCACCTTAAAACAACACGAATGTTGACCAAAGTGCTTCACAAGCAGAGCAAGATACACACATATTAAAACAGAACGTGACAAGTAATCAATCCAATAACTTAAAAGAATAATCAAAACAAATATTTATAACCTGGTACATCACTGGTACATCACCGAAACCCCTGGCATTAAAGAGATGCATGCAAAATAAAACCAAGTTATGAGTAAGCCTGAGAAAAAAGGTAGGTTTTAATTGATGCTTTAAAGACGCCTAATGTAGGAGAAGCGCTAATCGTTAAGGCTAGTGTGCTCCAAAGTTTTGGAGCATAGACTGAAAAAGACCCGTCTCCTTTTGTTTTCAAACGAGATTTCGGGACATTTAATAACAGCTGGACTGAAGATCTGAGTGTTCTCTGAGGAGAATAAAAACTTACAAGTTCTGATATATAAAAAGAGCTTTGAACACGGAAGTTAAAACCTTAAAATCAATTCTTTGTCGTGAGAGTGATGACTGACTGATTCCAGCATACAAGGCATTGCAGTAATCAAGCCTTGAGGAAATAAAAGCGTGAATAACGGTCTCCAAACCTAAAAGTAAAAAGGTGTTTTAACTTTCAAAGTCGCTTTAGCTGGAAAAAGCTGGCCCTGACCACCGAATTTATTTGTTTGTCAAACTTCAGATCTGAATCAAAGATGACACCCAGATTTTTAACATAGGAGTGATTATTTAACTGAAGATGCCCCAAGAAAGCTCTTTATTTGTCAATCTGCGGTGATGCTCAAAGACCGAGCGTAGTGGAAGCATGTAAAGAGAAAACAAAACTGGACCCAGAATCGAACCCTGTGGCACCCCACAGGTGATTGGCACTGGGGATGATGAAAATTCTCCAATTTCTACAGATATACTCCTATTTGAAAGATAAGACTCAAACCAATCTAAGGCAGCATCACAGATGCCAACCTCGTGATTTAATCTTTTTAACAGAATGCAATGGTCCACGGTGTCGAAGGCTGCGCTTAAATCCAACAGAACAAGAACTGCACCGTTTCCAGAGTCGACTGATAACAAGATGTCATTTGCCACTCTTAATAGGGCAGACTCAGTACTGTACTTAGCCTTAAAAGCAGACTGTTGTTTGAGATTAAGTTGGTTTAAAACCACTTTTTCCATAACTTTCAGCAAAAAGGGCAACTTAGAAATAGGTCTATAGTTATGAAGTTCAGAAGAATCTAGGTTTGTTTGTTTTTTAGCCAGGGGTGAACCACAGCATGTTTTAAACAGGATGGAACAGTGCTGCTATGCAGAGAGGCATTTATAATGGAAAGTACACTAGGTAAAACAACCTCCAATACCTCTTTAAATAGGACAGCAGGAATAGTATCAAGAGAACAAGTGGTTAATTTTATATTAGAAATCACAGCCAGCTAATCAGAGTGAGATATAGTCTGAAAAGCAGACAGACTAGAAAAACTAATCTGTGAATTATAACAACTTTCAGATGAGGATGATAAAATCTGAGACCTCATACCAGCAATCTTATCTATGAAGAAGCTGCAAAACTTGCAGGATGCAACCGGATGCAGTTGAAGGATTCAATAGTTTAAAGTGGAAAATAGAGTATTCGGACAATGGGAGTTTTTTTGCAATCAAACTGGAAAAATAGTTAGCCCTTGATAAAGAAACAGCTTCCTGATATTGAGACAGAATAGCTTGCAAAAGTTGATGAGACATGTGCAGTTTGTCCCGTTTCCATATTCTTTCTGCCCTTCTACATTTTTTCCTTAAAGCTTTAATGTCTTTATTTAGCCAGGGCTGCTTTTTTCTTAACTTTGAGAGGAGCAACTGCATTTAATACTTCAGTACAAGCAGCATTGAAATTAATAACCATATCCTCAACATCCATGCCTTGCGATGCCAAATTGGTACTACCAGCTGCCGAAGCTAAAAACAAATCTTTAAAATAGATTAAAAAAACTCACTGTCAAACACAACAGGCCAATGGTCAGACAAACCAGTATCATTTACATAAATGTCTTTGATGGGGAAGCCTGAGGATAACACAAGATCAAGTGTGTGCCCTAACTTATGTGTAGGGCCAGATATAATAGACATAATAAATATACACAATACACACACATATATTCTGTAAACAAAAACATTTATTTGGGATGCGATTAATCGCTCGACAGCACTAGTAATTTATCAAAATGCTCCTCTCTAGTTATTTTTGTTTATGGACATTGAATGTCTTTCATGAGGAAAATGTGACATTACATGACATTGTTTACAAGCTGTTTCACTAACAAAACTGCTATACAATTCCACTGAAGGGAAAAGAGAAGCATGCACTTGTGTTTGTGTTCAAGAACGAAAGGTTTGGAATGACAGAACCATCATTTGGGTGAATGAACCCTTTAACAAACACAAATATGCATGCATTTGATAACACAAGAGAAAAGAGAGCATCATAGATTACAGGTGTCATGGACTCAATCTGAGCTCGAGATCAACAATCTGATGCAGTCAGAGAAGGTCTGCTACACACTGAGCCAGCAGGAGACGCGGAGGACACACCGATCCGGCAGATCTTCAGCAGGAACCAGAGCCACAGCAGCACCGCAGCGATCCAGAGCCTGCAACCCTACAAACACGAGAGCACACTCAGTCCTGCCCAGAACACACACTAGGGCTGCTCGATTAGGGCAAAAATCATAATCACAATTATTTAACACGATTACGAGGGGGCCATATGTGTCCCTGGAGCACAGAAGCAGTGTTAAGTCGCTGGGGTATATTTGTAGCAATAGCCAACAATACATTGTATGGGTCACAATTATACATTTCTCTTTTATGCAAAAAATCATTAGGATATTAAGTAAAGATCATGTTCCATGAAGATATTTTGTACATTTCCTACCGTAAATATATCAAAACTTCATTTTTGATTAGTAATATGCATTGCTAAGAACTTCATTTGGACAACTTTAAAGATGATTTTCTCAATATTTAGATTTTTTTGCACCCTCAGATTCCAGATTTTCATATAGCTGTATCTCAGACAAATATTGTCCGATCCTAAGATGATGCATAAACCTCAATTTCATAAAATTGACCCTTATGACTGGTTTTGTGCTCCAGGGTCACATATGATCAAAGCTTTATATGAGTGATTTATTTAAAGATAGTGATACATATCACATATATATTTCATGTACATAAGGTTGCTATGACGTCTGCATTGTAGAGACCAGCGGAATTTCAAATGAACAAACAAAAAGTCCTCAATTATTGAAAAGAATTAAAATGTCTGTAATAAAAAAGCAAGGGACAAATACAATAGAACAAAAAGATACAAATGAAACAAACTGTGCTTTAATGTCTTTTGTTTTTTTAATGCAAGTCTCCTTATTAAAGCTACAAAAGTCCTTCACTCAAGAGCAGTGTGTGCACAGTGTGCATTTTGACACATTTTGCGTGTATTTGACTGTTTAGGAGCGCACCTTGAGCTAAAAGATGACTTTACAGTCCGTGTTGTGTTTCGTCTCTGAGCGCATATATCTTCCTGAGGAGCAGGAACGCTTTTAAAAACATGAATACATATACTTCTATAAATCAAGCACGTCCCATTGTCACGTTACATGATTTTACTGATTTGCACGTGAAATTGGGCTTTCATGGAGGAACGTAAGCACAGCGCTGGAAAAGGGGGCGGAATGGGGTGCAATAATCGTTTTATCTCGATTATAGTATTTTCATAATCGTTGGAGGCCAAAATCGAAATCGAATCTGTTTTCGATTAATTGCACAGCCCTAACACACACACTATAGCACTCCTCCGACCCTCGACAGCTTGTGGCTCTGAGTGCAGACATATGGTCAGAGCAGAGGCATGTGTGTGTGTGTGTGTGTGTGTGTGTGTGTGTGTGTATACACAGACACTGTAACAAGGACACTGTAAAATAAAGTGCAACCCAAACATCTCTTAAATCCATTCAGAAATAATCCATCGCTGAAATGCAGCGTTAGAGGTTCAGGTTTAGAGGTCAAAAACTCTTCCCGACTGACAGTATAACAGCAGACATACAGTAGTAGTTCTGCACAGCTTTCTGCTTTTCTACGTAAACATGCGCTTGACGGCTGTGTTTGACCGTTGCGCTCGAGAAACATAGAAGGTACTGCTTGCTTATTTTGCTCAAGTGCACGATCTATTTAATTCCACACGTCATTCTAACAATAAACTCGGCTCGTAAGCACAGGTTGAGAGCTGTAGTTCAACCATGCAATGCTGTTTTCTTGGTTCTCGCAGTTGCTTTTGGGAAACACATCAACACATGGCTTTGATCGGGAAACGCTGCTGGTGGCTTCCTTGAAAACAGCACTAGTTCACCCAAAAGTGGCATATTCTGCCGTTTTCTCATGTTGTTTTTCATGCTGCTACAAACCCAGAGTCTTGGTTAATCACCGGAACATAAATGAAGACATTTTTAATGAAACCCCAGAGGTTTCCGTTTCCCACCGAAGGTCCGGGTAACCAAAACTCAGAAGATACAAAACGTTAAAAAGCCTTCGCAAAACAAATCCAAATGAACTAGTGGTCGACCGATATTGGTTTTTTGACAGCCGATACCGATATCTTGGAAAGCAGGGTGGCCGATAGCCGATATAAAGCCGATATGATTTATTTTAATGTTTAAGAAATTTGAAATCATTAGATTAAAAAGTAAATGTATTAAATAAACATACTTATACTTTAGATGACAAAGTATTTTTCACAAATAAATAAATATTTAATAAAAAAAACATACTTATACTTTAGATGACAAAGTATTTTTCACAAATAAATAAATATTTAATAAAAAAAATTAAGTAAACCCTGTAACCAACAGGGCACTCAGTATTCTGGGAACGTTAATCGTGCTAGAAACATGCTAACAGAATGCTAGTAACTTGCTAATCATGCAAGCAACATGCTAGAAACATGATAATCATGCTAGAACATGCTAGAAACATGATAATCATGCTAGAATATGCTAGAAACATGTTAGTAACTTGCTAATCATGATAGGAACATGCTAATAACTTTCTATTCATGCTAGCAACATGCTAGTCACTTGCTAATCATGCTAGCAACATGCTAGTAACATGCTAATTATGCAAGAAACGTGCTAGTGAAATGCTAGTAACTTGTTAATCATGTTAGCTAGAAACATGCTAGTCACTTGCTAATCATGCTAGTAAGATGCTAATCATGCAAGAAACATGCTAGTGACAGGCCAATCATGCTAAAACATTCTAATCATGCTAGAAGCATGTTATCAACATCTATCTACTCTAAATGTTCAAACTTTAGGCTTTTACAACTGCTTTAAACGTCCAGGCTAGGCTTTCTCAAGCCAACCTTTTTGTATCTAGTTGTTTTATTGATGTCTCTTAACTTAGACAACTGATGTGATGTGGAAACAAACTTCAGGAGGTAGAAGAAACCCAACGGCGCTCCAGACTCACTTCTGAGACCGTCTGATATCAAACCAGACCTGAGAACACACGCCAGCGGACCTGATGTTCCTGTAGGAGCCGCCGTGCATTCAGACGGACTTCTGTACTGGCATCACATTATCTTCAAGACAAACAACCTGTCATACGGCAGACACTCAGACGAGACACTCTCATTTCTATTCCACGTCTCACTATAATTTCATTTCCTGTAACAAGTAACAGCGAGGCCTGCATTCAAAGCATCAGGCTGATGAACGTCCCGTAAATACTCTCAGCGGACTGCAGAACACTCAACATGTGCTGGGGCTGCGAATACCATCTTAATATCTCAATATGCTCTTGGAAACACTACTATAGAAGTGGAGCTCAATTTCCAGCCTCACACAAAACTATATGAAAGCCTTCAGAAGATTCGGAATACAGTGTCAAGATTTGGATTTTGTGTCATTTTGACAACTTCAGTTCATTTAATGCAAAAGAGCAGCCAGGATATTCTGCTAAATCTCTTCACAGAACGAATCGTACAGGTTTGGAACAATGTTTAATATTTTAAAACAATAAATTCGTTAACCATCCTACTTTCCAGGATTTCAGACAAGTCGAAGGTTATCCTAACTTCAATGATTTTAAGAACATTTGTTTACAATTTTTAAATATTGTTTGTAATGTTTTGTCTTTAAAACAATCTAAAGAATTAAAGATAAGAACATTCTTATATGGGAAACAGTAAATATTAATAGAAAATAGCAGTTCATAATAATTTTATACAAATGTGCTGTGAATTCGGACCCAGATGTAAAGCTGAGAAAGACTGCAGTTTTCTCCCATTATCTGCATGACTGCAAATGTGATATTGATTTATACAACAGTTCAATAATCAAGAAGCTAATAACTCCCTACTTCTATTTTGGCATTAAAATGAACTGAATAGAGCTGTTAAACGTATAAACTTCACAGAACTGTTGTGCAGTGTTTTGTTCCTGAGTGAATCGGTCTTTTTGAACGAATCACGTTTGAATGAATCTGTGTGTGTGAACAGTGACGGGTGTGACGTGCATCACATTTAACCCATTAAGACTTAATTAACCGTCTCTTCCAGCTAAAATTTTAGTCCATAATCCATTTTAACGCTTAAAAGTGCATCTCCTGTCATCTCTCGCATCAAAATCCAGCCACATATGTGTTTAAACGCTGCTTGATCTGTGCAGATTTCTCTCCTGATTCACACCAGAACACTTTTTCACTGAAGGAAGAGTTATTATGGATTATGGACTCGTATTTTAGTAAAAAACGTCTTAATGTTTCAGCTTTGGTCTTCTCCAGATGGTAACTGATGGACTGGAGTGCTGTGGATTATTGTGATGTTTTTATCAGCTCTCATTCTGACGGCACCCATTCACTGCAGAGCATCCATTGCTGAGACACTGATGCAGTGCTACATTTCTACAAACCTGATGAAGAAACAAACTCATCCTAATCTCGGATGAACTGAGGGTGAGCACATTTTCATTTTTGGCTGAACTATTGCTTTATGAGTGACCAAACATGACTAGCACAACCGTACCTGTGGCGATCTGAGTGACGAGCGAGTCGTGGCTCTTATAGAAAACTCTGGCACACAGAGCAGAGAGGCCGGTGGTCTTGAGAAGAGCGCTCCGGTATGAAGACAGCAGCTGATCGGTGACGCTCTCGGCTGCTGCGTGAGGGTCGCTCAAACACACGCTGAGAGACAGAGAGGCGTATCGAGCGCAGCTGGACTGCAGCAGACGGCACTCGACGCTGCACCCCGGGATCTGAGAGACGGAGAGATGAGACGCTCTGTCTGTGGGACGGTCCAGCACAGCCGTGACATGCAGCTCCACCGCTGCTCCTCTGGGTAACGACGGCACGACCGCAACGCTGCTCTCCACCTGAGGACAGACAGAGACAAACACAACGCACTGCAACAAGAGCAATCAACAGATGCACACGAGTTATGGATTGTAAATCTGTTGATCATATCCAAGAGGATTCAACAAAACACTAAGGGCCAGTTTTACTAAACAGGGCAAATTAGCACGAGAGCGCAATTCCAAAACAGCTCGCAACAGTGCGTGTGATTTACTAGCAATGCACAAATTAAAGAACACAGACGTAACATCTCATTTGCATATCGACCAACGCAATATACCAAGCGCAGAGCAAATTAGCGTAGTCACAAATAAAGAAGCCACGGTACGTTGAAAAGAACCGGAGGCCAAAAAAATGAAGGGTTGCAAGAAGTTTTGATAGACCTGGTTCCAAGTCGTCTTTTATTTCCTGAAGCAAATAAAAAATTACATGGCTTGGCAAATGATATGTTCGGATAATGTGTTCTTCTGGCATTCAAAATAAATTAATTTGTGTTGAAAAAATCCTCTCCCTTCTACCACGCGCTCTCTGTTCTCTGCGGTGCCTCCTCCAGCAACAACACTTGCAGCCATTTCCAGCCCAAAATAGTTTAACATGCTTTTTTTGGGCGTTAAATAATGGCGCATATTTTGCAATAATTTGACGAGCGCCAAGTAAATCGTGTTGCATGATTCATTTGAATAGCCTACTCTCTTAAAAATAAAGGTGCTTCACGATGCCATAGAAGAACCTTTTTGTCTAAATGGTTCCATAAAGAACCTTTAACATCTGAAGAACCTTTCTGTTTCACAAAAGCTTCTTTGTGGCGAAAGAAGGTTCTTCAGATTACAAAAAGGTAAGAAAGAGATGGTTCTTTAAAGAACCTTTGACTGAATGGTTCATTGTGGAACCAAAAATGGTTCTTCTATGGCATCGCTTGAAGAACCTTTTGAAGCACCTTTATTTTTAAGAGTGTACTCTCCTCACATAGGTTTTGCGTCTGAAAGGGAAACTCTTACAGATGCATATTTAATAAGGTCAGGCGCAAAAATAACTGTGTCCACGCCTTTTCAGCGCTAATTAGTCACTGCACATCTTTAGTCAAACCTGACAGCAGCTATTTTAACGCCAAAAGACGGTTTGCGTGGGCGCACGCTGTTAGTAAAACTGGCCCTAAAGCAGTAGATCTACACTGGCTGCCTCTGCTTTGAAACTACACACAAAGAGCTGCTGAGTTTTAAAACATGTTATGGACTAAAAATAAATAAAAATGCATTTCAATTTATCAGGAACCTTGATTTCTCTTGAAACGACCCTAGCAAACATCAGTGTATGGACCCAGTGATGACACCTGTCCACAGCTATTTATATCTCTGTACTTTGTGTTCTACTTAGGGTTGCAAAGGGGTGGAAAATTTCTGATAAATTTCCGGAAACGTTCCAAAAATCCTTGGAATATTAAAAAGCAACCTTGAAAATTTCCGATAAATTTCCGGAAACGTTCCAAAATCCTTGGAATATTAAAAAGCAACCTTGAAAATTCCCGATAAATTTCCAGAAATGTTCCAAAAATCCTTGGAATATTAAAAAGCAACCTTGAAAATTTCCGGAAACGTTCCAAAAATCCTTGGAATATTAAAAAGCAACCTTGAAAATTTCCCGGAAACGTTCCAAAAATCCTTGGAATATTAAAAAGCAACCTTGAAAATTTCCAATAAATTTCCAGAAACTTTCCAAAAATCCTTGGAATATTAAAAAGCAACCTTGAAAAATTCCGATAAATTTCCGGAAACGTTCCAAAAATCCTTGGAATATTAAAAAGCAACCTTGAAAATTTCCGGAAACGTTCCAAAAATCATTGGAATATTAAAAAGCAACCTTGAAAATTTCCGGAAACGTTCCAAAAATCATTGGAATATTAAAAAGCAACCTTGAAAATTTCCGATAAATTTCCAGAAACTTTCCAAAAATCCTTGGAATATTAAAAAAAAAATCCTGGAAAGTTTCCAAAAATTCTGGAATATTTCCGCAACACTAGTTCTACTACCTAACACTGCCGTGTGAGTGTTTTTTATTACAACAGTTGAAGGAGTGAAGGCAAACCTGGCATCTTTCTCTTTTCCGAACACTTAAAATGGAAGGAATAAATGGAAGCGGACAGAAAGAAATGAGTGAGTTTATGATTAAAACAAGAATAAATATCTGCCAATGCAGTCAGAAAAATAATCCTCATTCAAAGGAAAAACTGGTTGATTTTCTGACACCACTGAATGATATATGTTCTTGTTTTAAGCATAAATGCGTTTCATTTAGCCATATCTCTCAGAAAACAAGATTTCGTATTCATCTTCATTGCGCATCTCAAGTAAATGTATCCTGATTCAAGAATATTCAGACAAAAACACTGATTAAATATTTTTGAATTCGTTTTTGTAGTGCATGCCACATTTAGTGCCATGACGTTATGAATTTAAGACTTTCTGCTCTGATTTAAGTGATGAGGCTTAAAGCCTTTATATATAATGCATAGCAACAGTATTCGTAATGTATGCTATAATGCATTTTTTTCATGAATAATTGTTGAAAACAAATTTAAAATGCATTATAATATCTGAAGGTTTGTTTGTCATGTTTGTTTGTAAAGATGTAGCAATGAATAGCAAAGTTTTATAATTTATCCTAACTCTGGCTACAATTATTCATGAGTTTATACAATGCATTATAAGGTGAATTACTTAATGCATTAACATTTTATAATGCATTATACATAAATGCTTTAATTAGAGTGTTATCAACACCTTTTTAGGCCTTATTTTGTGGAAGGGTGAATTAAGACCCGCAGAAAGCCTGTCGAAAGTGTTACCAGGTTGCTTGAAGTTACAAAACAAGCAAGTAAAGGCTTGCGGAGCCAATGCAAAGAGCAGAGCAGTTGAATAAAGATCACCTGAACCCTCAAAACTCACGTGACCGAGCCACAACAAAGACACGAGGCGTGATTGATTCCAGACACGCTCGGGTCATTTTACACCATTTCACCACACTGGAGAGCAGCAGTGATGGCTTTAAATGCCTTCATCATCATCCTCCTCCTCCTCCTCTGAAGAGTTAAAATCTTTATTCTCGGCTGGCGTCTGCGCACGGGCCATTATCGCCTCTCAAACTCGTGCACGGCACAATGCGGCCCTCAAATAACACCGTCTCATCTGCTAAAGGGGGACAAATGAGTGTTTTACACAACAGCCGCTTTGTTGTGTCGTCGATAAGAGCAAAAACACTTAACCCCCTTTTCAATTGGCTGGATCAATTTTCATCCACTCACATCCCACTCCAGCACAGCAGAATAATGACGGGTTACATACACTTTATTTTGAAATTCACTCGAAAGCAGACGGCGAATAAATCAGAGCCTTTTCTCCCAATTCTGTGCTGCTCGTGACCCGACGGGCGAACGCTGCACTTAGCCCCAGATTAAAGAGCCGCCGCTGATTGCGGATCAACACCGAACCACTTTTCAGCGCGGCCGCGAGTAAACAATAGCAGCTTTAAGCAGTGTGTAAAGCGTTCACAGACGTCTGTAACAAGCGCGCTTTAATACGCCAAAGATTAGCACTTAACAGCCGCGAGGGGCCGTAATGAACAGGAGGCTGTTAATGGCCCTCGGGGGCCACAATAAGGCTGTGCTGGGATCCGGAGGGCCTCGTTTAGTGGCGGCCCCTGACATCAAGCTCCTCACCTTCACGGGTCAAAACCAGCCCTGAACTAGGCTCAGGTACATTCATGCTTCACGCCATTTGAAGCCATAATCTCTTCCAGATCACACCACCGGTCCAAAGCTTGAAAATAAGGTTTTTCGGTGTTTTTAAATAATACGTTTTTTCTGCTCACCAAAGCTGCATTTACTTGATCAAAAATAGTTAAAATTGTATAATATTTTTGCAATTTAATATATCCGTTTTCTATGTGAATATGTGTTAAACTGTCATTTATTCCTGTGATGCGCAGCTGTATTTTCAGCATCATTCCTCCAGTCTTCAGTGTCACATGATCTTCAGAAATCAGTATAATATGCTGATCTGCTGCTCGAGAAACATTTCTGATTATTATCAATGTTGAAAACAGTTGAATATTTTTGTGGAAACCATGATACATTTTTCAGGATTCACAGATGAATAGAAAGTTCAGAAGAACAGCGTTTATTTGAAATAGAAATCTATTGTAACATTATAAATGTCTTTACTGTCACTTCTGATGAATGAATGTATTAATTTCTACTTTTGTAATAAAAAAAACGTACTTAAACCACTTTTTTTAAATGTAGCGTCACATTTTCCACAAAACAAGAAGCTGCACAACTGTTCAACATTATATATTATATTATGTATATATAAAATAAAATAGCTACAGTATATCAAAATGAATATATATTAAAATAAAAGAAATAATTACATACAATAAAGATAAATAAAATTAAAATTTTGTCATTCCAGAAGTTAAGAAATTTCTTCTTGATACAAAATGTTATAGAACTTGACAGACAAATGTATATTAATTACAGAAAAGTCTGTGACCTTTTAAGATTTTATTAATTTCCGTGACTTTTTATAGGTCCAGAAAACAGGCTTTTAAAATTGCGTCACATATCCAGGATTCCCAAGAATGCTGGTTCTTAAAAATGACAGCTGTTAATGGAATAACTTAAAATAAGAAATGTGATTCTGAGCTATTTTATCTGCAGAATCTGTGTTGAGCAGCGTGATGTTTCTCTGCTGTCCTGTTCTCAGCGCAGGAGTCTGGGAGGAGGTGGAACAGTAAACACCATAATAATGAAGCAAAGTTTCAGCGTGACAAGACTTTACAAGCAAACAGTACATCATTATCAGATGCTCATCGAGTGTGAAACTCACTGCACATTCTGTTGCGCTTCAGGCCTAATCATATTTTCATTTATACTTCTTGAGAATCACTTATTTTCACTTTGAAGTGAACTGACCAATGGTAAAAACTCTAGAAAGAACCTATCAACATTAAATATGACCAATAT